TAATTATAAAAAAAACATTTAATTAAACCAATGTTAAGAATTTTAAATCGGCTTTATAAAATAACTTCATAATATAAAAGCTAGTAAATAAAGAGAAACAAAAAAAGCATTACAAGCAATAAAGAAAGAGTGGTCTCACTATTTAAAAGTAGGCTGTCTGAATGTTTATCATTCAAGAGCTGGAGTGATTTTCCCCCTCAGTTTAGATAAGCTGCATTCACACTAATGCACATATCTCTTGAAATTGTAAATGTGGTTTGTCCTGTTGGTTTAAGAACTGACCGTGTTTACATTAATTTCGCGTCATAAAAAGCATCTTGACATGCAAGTTTATGCACATTTAACCAATGAGTCGCTCACGGCCGCATGCACGAGCGCTCTTCACAAAGCGCGCGTTAGTATTTTAAAATGAAAGCAGCATTCTCAGTGATTTTCATAGTTTTAATATATAAGCCAACTGCATTCCAAAAGACATAAATAATGCCTCTGTGAAGCATTTGTAAGGAAAATTCCCGCGGGAGAGAACGCGCACTGCAAGAGTAACGTTATAACATCAAGCAAAAGCGGCAAGCCCCCGAATGTCCTTGTAATTCGGTTCAACCCCGAATTTTATGAAATAACGTTACTGAGAGAGAGAGAGAGAGAGAGAGAGAGAGAGAGAGAGAGAGAGAGAGAATAGAAGCAAGCAGAACACGGTTCGTTTCTGAAGCACGCGCAGAGTCATCACGCATCTGTGTTTAAAAACTAAGCTCAGACTCAATTCTGAAATTCTCTGAATCGATCCAGGATTGTTGGGGAGAGAATAAATAACACAATATCACATACATTAAAAATAAACTGTTCTTTTATGAACGCCAGACCATGAACGTAGCGTGACAAATTGATGCTTGATCTTGCAGACTGCTCCCGCGTGTCACGTGACCAGTGTAATCGCAGCTCTTGCGATTACAAAACCGCGTTTCATCATATCGCGGTTTTATCGCAAATGCAATTAATCGTTCAGCCCTAGATGTATGTTAGACTGCAATTTATCTGGAGTAGGTCAGGCCCAAAAGGTAATCACCAAAGTTAATCAGAGAGTTATTTTTTTGGCCAGAATACCAAAGTTTTTGGATGAAAAAACAAGGCTAGTTTTGACAGGAGCTTTAATTCAGCCTTATTTTGATAATGCGTGTGGGCTCATGGTACAATGGTGTCACAGGGAACCTAAAACATAGGCCTCAGACGTCTCAAAATAAATTAATAAGGCTAATTTCAGACCTCACCTGGAACTCATCGTCTCAAAACGTCTCAAAATAAATTTCTTCAGACGTCTCAAAATAAATTAATAAGGCTAATTTTAGATCTCATCTGGAACTCATAAGAACTCATCTCGAATCTTCCCACTTTGAAAGGGTGGGATGCTTGAAAGTTGAGGATCGAGTATCTCAGATGCAGCTGCGTATGGTACATAAAATTGTTCATGGAAATGTTCCCAAGTATTTTAGAAATTATTTTAATAGAGTAAACGAAGTTCACAGGTACTCCACTAGGGGTAGCTCAACAGATTTTGTACCCGCCAGATTTAATACTAATCTGGGCAAACAGTCTTTTCTTTATGCTGGAACTACCCTTTGGAATCGGTTACCTAGTACACTTAAGATAGTAATAAGTATAGGTAGTTTTAAACAGGGTTTGAAAGTATGGTTTAGGTGCCAATTGTAGTCATTATAATTTCAGAGTCTATTTTTATGATCAATTTTTCTGGATGAATTTGTTTAAAGGGTAACTAAGCCCCTGGTCAGAGCCTGACTCCACTGACTGGCAATATTTTTTAAAAAAAAGCTGAAAAAGTGGGCAGACCCCAGCGGAGAAAGAGGGGACGAAATAGATGCTAAAATACTCTATCCTGATCGTTTTCAATACTCGCAATTCCAACTCCTGACTCGCTACAGTGGTTTTGACAAAACAAGCTGTTTTTTATAAAAGCTGGCGGTGTTGCAACAATCTATAAAGATATTTTTAATATTACTCAGAAAACAGGTCGTTTAATTCATTTGAAGTACTTGTGCTAAATGTTACGCTCTTAGATGAAAGAAGGAAATCCATATTATCTCTAGCCTTGGCTATTGTATATAGACCTCCAGGGCCATATGCTGAATTCCTAAAAGAGTTCGCAGACTTTCTATCTATTGGTGAATGTCGATGAAGCAATAATTGTTGGAGATTTTAACATACACGTAGATAATACAAATGATGCTTTAGGGGCTGCGTTTACAGACTTATTGAACTCCTTTGGGGTCAAACAAAACGTCAGTGGTCCCACTCATCGTCTAAATCATACACTAGACTTAATTATATCATATGGAACCATTCCAACTGATATAGATATTATACTGCAAAGCGATGATGTCACTGATCATTACATGGTGACTTGCATAAAACGTACTGCTAAAATATGTCATGTTGCGCCACGTTATAGACCAGGCAGAACAATCCTTCCAACCACTATAGATAGATTCTCAAATAGCTTACCTGATCTATCTAAGCTGCTAAGTGAACCCAAACAAACAGATGAATTAGAGTAAATGACTAGCAGTTTAAGCACCATTTTCACTAGTACATTAGATATTATTGCACCAATTAGATTAAAAAAGGTTAGAGAGAAAACTAAAGCACCCTGGTACAACAGTGCTACGCATGCCATCAAGAGAGAAACTCGCAACTTAGAGCATAAATGGAAACAAACTAATTTAGAGGTCTTTAGAATCGCGTGGAAAGACAGTATGTCACGTTATAAAAAGACACTAAAAACAGCCAGGGCTGAGCATCTCCACAAACTAATCGAAAATAACCAAAATAATCCAAGGTTTTTATTTAACACCGTGGCTAGACTAACAAATAAACAGACATCACCAGAGCAAAATATACCGTTACAGTTTAGTAGTAATGATTTTATGAATTATTTCAATGAGAAAATAGAAAGCATTCGAAACACAATTATAAATGTACAATCCTCTATGGTGTCTTATGATTCAGCTTCAATTATGGCCCCTCCAGAACAACTACCGCTTTACAACGATAGGACAGGAAGAGCTAAATAAACTTATCATAGCATCTAAACCAACAACATGTTTATTAGATCCAATACCCAATAAACTACTGAAAGAACTATTACCTTTAGTGCAAGAGCCTCTCCTCAATATTATTAACTCGTCTTTATCTTTAGGTCATGTTCCAAAAATATTCAAGCTGGCAGTAATAAAACCTCTTATTAAGAAACTGCAATTAGATCCAAATAACTTGGCAAATTACAGACCCATTTCAAATCTTCCATTTATGTCCAACATACTAGAAAAAGTTGTGTCCATTCAATTGTGCTCTTTTTTGCAAGAAAATGATATCTATGAAAAATTCCAGTCAGGATTCAGACCGCATCATAGTACAGAAACTACGCTAGTTAAAATTAAAACCTGGGTGTTATACTAGACCGCAACTTGTCTTTCGAAAATCATATTTCATATGTTACAAGAACAGCCTTTTTCCACCTTAGAAACATTGCTAAGCTACATAACATGCCTATCTATTTATGATGCTGAAAAGTTAGTTCATGCATTCATGACCTCGAGACTAGATTACTGTAATGCTTTATTAGCTGGTTGTCCTGCATCCTCAATAAACAAGCTAGTACAAAATGCAGCTGCTAGAGTTCTTACTAGGTCAAGAAAATATGATCATATAACACCGATTTTATCATCTCTACACTGGTTACCTATTAAGTGCTGTATCAACTACAAAGTACTACTACTGACCTATAAAGCCCTAAATGGTTTAGCTCCTATGTACTTAACGGACCTTCTTTCGCCCTACAATCCACCGCATTCCTTAAGATCACTAAATTCAAGGCTTCTGGTCATTCCTAGGATATCTAAGTCCAGTAAAGGAGGGAGGGCGTTCTCGCATTTAGCTCCAAAACTCTGGAATAGCCTTCCCGATACGGTCCGAGGCTCTGACTCGCTGAGACAGTTTAAAACAAGACTAAAGACGCATCTCTTTAGTCAAGCATTCACATAATGCTTATCTCTTATTCCTGTGTTATGCCATACGGAACCGTTTGCCACTGAAACTGCTTAACGCACCAGTGGGGCTCGACAGCCTTTTAGACAAACGGGTCGGCACGTATGGGTGGGTTGCGGAGAGTTTGTGAGATAGTGGTTTTCTAACACCGACTCTCGTATAATGGAAATCATTATGAACATCAGCTATGCTAATTATTTCCCATCTGCCTTTCTGCTGTTATCTCGGGACGCTTGTCCCGAGAAAAATGGCGTTCGTCAGGTCCAGTTTTGTATCTAGCCTCTCACTGGGATTTCGGTGCCCCACCGCCTGTGATGAGAAGACCAACGCCTGTGAAGAGACGACTCAACGCCGGCGATATGTTATGGTGCCGTTTTATATATAAACAATATTTATATTTAATATTTAGATATAAACAATATGAATGTTAGCCAGAGGAGAACTGGCCCCCGACTGAGCCTGGGTTCTCCCAAGGTTTTTTTTTCCATCCAATCTGATGGAGTTTTGGTTCCTTGCCACTGTCGCCTTGCTTTTGGCTTGCTTAGTGGGGTTAGTTAATATTTAATATTTAACAATATTATTGATCTGTGTTGTACTACTTTCATGTTATCACTGTGAAGCTGCTTTGATAAAATCTGTATTGTGAAAAGCGCTATATAAATAATATGTTTGATTTGCTGCCACTTTCCTCTAGAAATAACTCTTTGGGCTTTACTATGTTAACTCTGACTACTTATTTTTTTATTTTTATGTATGACACGGTTTCATACTGTTTCATATTTTTATATTTAAATTGTCAAATAAAATAAATCAATCAATCAATCAATCAATCAATCAATCAATCAATCAATCAATCAATCAATCAATCAATCAATCACTTTTTCTGTGATGTAATACAATATTTAACAGTGTTACACTATAAGCATAACATAGAAATGATATACCTGAGATGAGGCTGTGTGTCTCCACTCTTAAACGTTAGTGGCATATTCATAGAGGCGTTACTCCTCATAGACGAACAGCTGGACTCTGGGTTTGAGCTCTTCTGCTGGACTGAACTGGAACAGAGAACAGATTCAGTTTAATCCTTTAGATTACTATGTTCATTCTTTATGAGAAGAACCATTATTGATATGAACATTTATCTTTCATTCTTTTTTTTCATGTTAGTTTTAAAACAAAAACAGCAAAAATGTGTATTTTCTCTATAAATGTGTATTTGATCTGTGTGTGTGTGTGTGTGTGTGGGGGGGGTACATTTATTGTTTAAATCTAGACAATAAAAAATGATGCATTGTTTTACATCTTTTTTTCTGTGATGTAATATAATATTTAACAGTGTTACACTATAAGCATAATATAGAAATGATATACCTGAGATCAGGCCATGTGTCTCCACTCTTAAACGTTAGTGGCATATTCATAGAGGCATTACTCTTCCTAGAAAAAGTTACTCGAATCAATGACTGGTATTAATAAAGATCCATTCTTACAGTTGGTTTAGGGTTTAGTTACTCTTTAAAGTATGATGAATGATTAATGTTTGATTTGCTGCCACTTTCCTCTAGAAATAACTCTTTGGACTTTACTATGTTAACTCTGACTACTTATTTTTTTATTTTTATGTATGACACGGTTTCATACTGTTTCATATTTTTATATTTAAATTGTCAAATAAAATAAATAAATCAATCAATCAATCACTTTTTCTGTGATGTAAAACAATATTTAACAGTGTTACACTATAAGCATAACATAGAAATGATATACCTGAGATGAGGCTGTGTGTCTCCACTCTTAAACGTTAGTGGCATATTCATAGAGGCGTTACTCCTCATAGACGCACAGCTGGACTCTGGGTTTGAGCTCTTCTGCTGGACTGAACTGGAACAGAGAACAGATTCAGTTTAATCCTTTAGATTACTATGTTCATTCTTTATGAGAAGAACAATTATTGATATGAACATTTATCTTTCATTATTTTTTTTCATGTTAGTTTTAAAACAAAAACAGCAAAAATGTATATTTTCTCTATAAATGTGTATTCGATCTGTGTGTGTGTGTGTGTGTGGGGGGGGTACATTTATTGTTTAAATCTAGACAATAAAAAGTGATGCATTGTATTACATCTTTTTTTCTGTGATGTAATATAATATTTAACAGTGTTACACTATAAGCATAACATAGAAATGATATACCAGAGATCAGGCCATATGTCTCCACTCTTAAACGTTAGTGGCATATTCATAGAGGCGTTACTCTTCATAGACACACAGCTGGACTCTGGGTTTGAGCTCTTCTGCTGGACTGAACTGGAACAGAGAACAGATTCAGTTTAATCCTTTTGTCAAGGATTCAGAGGAGTCCAGAGTAGGTTGCAGAAAACACTCAATACTTTAATAAGAAATAAATCACCGCCTCACAGGCTGAATAAACAGAAAATGTCTTTTCACAGAAGGAAACAGAAAGTAGCTCTGCAGACGGAGATAATGGACCTCAGCTGGCTACCCAGAGGGGTCGGGAGCTATGGAGCTGGTACAGCGCTCTTGCAGGTAGACCCTCCACAACTCTCCTCGGCGACTGCTGAGAGTGATATAGAAGCAGTATAGTACAGCGGTAGGCAATGATCGTCTCAGACATGCAGGACCAGACAGGACAGGACAGGACTGGTGAAACAATTACTGAGAGGAGTCAAACAACAGCGATCCAACATACGTTAGGGTCAAACAATAATCCGACAATGGGCTATATGCACGCATAAGTTCCGCATTTGACATAAGGATGCTCGTCCATTTCCGGTTGTGTAGATTAAAGCGGAGGAAAACCGGAGAAAACGGGATTATGGCAGAGTCTTCAATATTTACTGTCCTCCCGTCTTTGAAACGAAACGTACATACGTTTAGATGTAATTTTATATATAGTTATATTTATTTAATATAATTTTAAAAAGAAGCATAAACACAACGAGGGGTGTCTGTTTTATCTGTTTTTGTGACTAACGTTTCATTAGTATAACCATGGAGTATAAAATTCAATATAAATTCTCGGTATTGCATTGGACTCTATGATCGGCGGAAGTTATCGAGCATCCTTAATCCTTCACCGGAAATAACGCCGTGCATAGAGCCCATTCAGACAAGAAAGAGAGAGCTAGAAGTAGCGTGGAGATGAGGAGAAGATAGAGAACAGGTGTGTAGTTGATGAGAATATGAGAGTCAGCTGATGGTAATGAGAGGAAGAGAAAATTGAAGTGTAAGTGTGTGGAAAGAGAAGAAATGATGAGGTCTAACCAGCAGAGGGAGACAAAGGAAAGAAAACAGAAAGAAAGAACCAGACTCATGACAGTACCCTCTCCTCAAGGTGCGCCACCTGGCGCACCAGAGGGTGACTGACGGGCGGGAAAGAAGTCGTCAATCAGCAAGCGGTCCAGGACGTCCCGGGAGGGGATCCAGCATCTCTCCTCAGGACCATACCCCTCCCAATCGACCAAAAACTGATGACCCCTCCCCCTGGGGCGAACGTCGAGTAATCTGCGGACACGGTATATGGGAGCACCCTCGACACGGACCGGAGACAAGACAGGACGCGGAGGAGCGCGAACAACGGGCTTTAAATTAGAAACATGGAACACCGGATGGACCCGACGCAGACTGGCTGGCAATCTCAGTCTGACCGAGACCGGACTATGGACCTTAACAACGCGGAATGGTCCAATGAATTTGGGAGCGAGCTTGCGTGAGGGATATTGAAGAGGGAGGTTGGCAGTCGAAAGCCAAACCCTCTGACCACAAGCATACCGAGGACTCTTGATCCGACGCTTATTAGCGGCTCGAAGAGTGACAGAGCGTGACTTACAGAGAGCAGCTTTAACCGTTCTCCAAGTTCGTTTACAGTGCTGGATGAAAGCTAGGGCGGAAGGCACCTTGGACTCCAAATCGGAGGACGGAAAAAGTGGAGGCTGGTATCCTAAACAACTCTGAAAGGGCGAAAAACCGGTCGCAGAAGCTGGAGCGGAGTTATAGGCATACTCAGCCCACGAAAGTTGTTCCGCCCAGGACGCGGGATTGCGAAAAGCTAAACAGCATAACAGACGGCCAATCGTCTGATTAGCGCGTTCGGCCTGACCGTTCGTCTGGGGATGATACCCAGAGGAGAGGCTGACCGAAGCACCAATGAGGCGACAGAACTCCTTCCAGAAGAGAGAAGAGAATTGCGGTCCCCTATCCGAAACTACGTTTTCCGGGAGACCATGGATCCTAAAAACGTGATCAACAACGATCTGAGCGGTCTCCTTGGCGGACGGAAGTTTAGGCAACGGGACGAAATGGGCGGCCTTGGAAAAACGGTCAATTACCGTGAGAATGACCTGGTTACCCCTGGAGAGTGGAAGCCCAGTGATAAAATCAAGCGCAATTTGAGCCCATGGACGAGATGGGACAGGAAGGGGCCTAAGAAACCCCGCCGGAGGTTTATTAGTACCCTTAGTCTGGGCGCAGATAGAACAGGAGGCTATGAAACGACGAATGTCACGTTCGTGAGAGGGCCACCAAAACCTCTGTTTGACCGCGGCGATCGTACCCCTGACCCCCGGGTGGACGAACAATTTAGAAGAATGTCCCCACTGGATTACGGCGCGGCGGGCAGAAGGGGGAACAAATAAAAGACCCTTAGGACAAAGCCGCGGCGTTCAAGTGTGAGACAGCGTACGCTTAACCAGACGTTCGATTCGCCAGATGGCCGCGCCTACTATCACCCCCTGGGGGAGAATCCCCTCCTCCGTAGGCGTGGTCTCAGGGGAAGGAAACTGACGTGAGAGAGCATCAGGCTTCTGATTCTTGGACCCCGGTCGAAAAGAGATAGTAAAATCAAAGCGCGTAAAGTAAAGAGACCAACGAGCTTGACGGGCGTTAAGCCTCTTGGCAGAACGGATGTACTTGAGGTTCTTATGGTCGGTCCAAACTACGAACGGAACAGCCGATCCCTCCAGCCAATGACGCCACTCCCCCAAAGCAAGACGAATAGCTAAGAGCTCTCGATTCCCCACATCATAATTCCGCTCGGCAGGGGTAAAGGCCTCATTATGCTTCTGCGTCAACTCTACGGCGTAGCTACGTCGTCACTGCTACGGCGTCGTGGCCGTTTTATGCTTCTGCGTCAGGCTGTGGTGCTTCGCGGTGCATTTCGCCGCCAGAACGCTAGGGGGGTTCGCGAATCTCTTTGGTTCCGTGCACAGCGAGCGAAAGAGAGAGAATGTTGTTGCAGCTGCCAGCTGGAGAGCTAATCGACGTTGAATAACAAGACGACACAAACTTTATCCCCACAGAAACAACACGGATAATAATAATTTTAAAAAAAAAGAAACAACACGGATGTCCAGGGCCCGTTCCTCCCATAGACAGTAAAAGAAAGGTTCCACCCGAGCTGCCATAACGACACCTGTTCGGAATGACTTGGAAGGATTTTTTCAGTCTCCACATGGAACTGTGCTATGGCAGGATAATGTGTCCCGTGGCAGACTTGGTTAGTACTGTATTATCAATGATGTAACCGTGAACATTGTATTGAAAATAAACAACAAACTGTGTTTCAAAACAAACGTTGATTTATTGAGTGATTGAAATTTATTGCGAGCAAAAAAGAAAGAAAAGAATATAGACATATATATTAACAATGAAATAAAAAAACGGTTTATTTTTAGTTGAATTCTTTATTTACCTTCTTTATAAAATTATTATAATTATCAGAACGAGGGTGCAAATGTTAAAAATAGCGCTATAGCGGGAGGAGGAAAATCGGAAAAAGCTACACTCCTGAAATTATGTATAATCTGACCAATCAAAGCCCTTGCTGTCTGCGTCGCCTCGACGCGTAGTTACAAATTTTTGGAGGTGCACGTCGAGCTACGGCGGAGGGGTCGGAGAGGGGTTCGCGTCGACGGATAGGGATCTGCGGGGGTACGCCGTCGATTCGACGCAGAAGCATAAAACAGGCTTAAGACGATGTGAGAAAAAAGCGCAGGGGTGGATCCGCTCATCAACAGGGGAGTGTTGAGAGAGGATAGCCCCCACACCCACCTCCGACACGTCGACCTCGACAATGAATTGTCTCTCCACATCTGGAGTGATAAGAATAGGAGCGGAAGAAAAGAGAAATTTGAGACGCTCAAAAGCCGCCTGAGCGGCAACAGTCCAGGAGAACTGTGACTTAACCGACGTGAGCGCGGAGAGGGGAGCCGCAATCTGACTAAATCCCCGGATAAACCGTCGATAAAAGTTCGCGAACCCCAAAAAATGCTGAAGAGCGACACGAGACTCGGGGATAGGCCAGTCAATAACCGCACGAACTTTGACAGGATCCATACTAATCCCCTGAGCGGAGATAACGGAACCGAGGAACGTAACCGTAGGGGCGTGAAAGGTGCACTTCTCGGCTTTAATAAAAAGACGGTTCTCTAAGAGACGCTGAAGGACCTGTCTAACGTGCTGTACATGAACTTGGAGAGTAGGAGAGAAAATGAGAATATCGTCTAGGTAGACGAACACGAACAGATTTAACATGTCCCTGAGGACATCATTTATGAGCGCTTGAAACACGGCGGGAGCGTTGACCAAACCGAACGGAAGGACGCGATATTCGAAGTGCCCCAAAGGGGTATTAAACGCCGTCTTCCACTCGTCACCCTCTTTGATGCGGATCAAATGATAGGCGTTACGGAGGTCTAGTTTTGTGAAGAACTGCGCTCCTTGCAAGATCTCAAAAGCTGAAGACATGAGAGGTAACGGGTACCTGTTCTTAACGGTTATGGCGTTCAGACCTCTGTAATCTATGCAAGGACGCAACGAACCATCCTTCTTCTTCACAAAAAAAACCCTGCCCCCGCTGGAGAAGTGGAAGGAGCGATAAGACCCGCGTTCAACGACTCTGAGAGATATTTCTCCAGAGCCTTGCGCTCTGGTGCGGAAAGAGAATAGAGCCTTCCCCGAGGAGGCGTGGTTCCCGGGAGAAGCTCTATACTACAGTCGTATGGCCGGTTGGGTAGGTAGAGATGCGGCCCGGGAGCGACTGAAAACCGCCCGCAGATCGAAGTACTCCTCCGGAACCCCGGTCAAATCCCCCGGATCTTCCTGAAAGACAGAAACAGAGGACACGGGAGAAACAGCTGACACAAGACACTTAACATGGCAGGAAAGACCCCAGAACAGTATAAAATTCTTAGACCAATCAATCTGGGGATTGTGTTCGTTGAGCCACGGATGGCCTAAAACTAAGGGAGTGTGAGGGGAATCAAAAATTAAAAATTGTCTCTGTGTGGTTGCCAGATATGGTGAGACTCACCGGTGCTGTAGTACAGCAAACCTGGGCCAGAACACTGCCATCCAGGGCGAAGACAGAGAAAGGGTCCTGGAGATCAACAAGTGGAATCCCCTGCCCGAGGGCCCAGTCCCTGTCCATAAAATTTCCCTCCGCCCCAGAGTCAATCAGAGCAGAACAGGTGGCAGAAGATCTAGTCCAGCGAAGACTAACAGGCAGCGTCGTGCGGGAGCGTGGAAGAGGGTCTAGAGAGGATGCGCTCACCAGTCTCCCTCTCATGACTGGTGAGCTCTGCCTTTTACCGGGCACGCGGTAACAAAGTGCTTGTCAGAACCGCAGTAGAGGCAGAGACGGTTGATGATCCGGCGCTGGCGTTCGGTAGCAGAGATCCTTATCCCTCCCAGCTGCATAGGCTCAGAATCAGACGGAGATAGCAGAGCGTTAACTAAGCTCACAGGTGAAGGCATTATTCTGTCAAGGATTCAGAGGAGTCCAGAGTAGGTTGCAGAAAACACTCAATACTTTAATAAGAAATAAATCACCGCCTCACAGGCTGAATAAACAGAAAATGTCTTTTCACAGAAGGAAACAGAAAGTAGCTCTGCAGACGGAGATAATGGACCTCAGCTGGCTACCCAGAGGGGTCGGGAGCTATGGAGCTGGTACAGCGCTCTTGCAGGTAGACCCTCCACAACTCTCCTCGGCGACTGCTGAGAGTGATATAGAAGCAGTATAGTACAGCGGTAGGCAATGATCGTCTCAGACATGCAGGACCAGACAGGACAGGACAGGACTGGTGAAACAATTACTGAGAGGCGTCAAACAACAGCGATCCAACATACGTTAGGGTCAAACAATAATCCGACAATTCAGACAAGAAAGAGAGAGCTAGAAGTAGCGTGGAGATGAGGAGAAGATAGAGAACAGGTGTGTAGTTGATGAGAATATGAGAGTCAGCTGACGGTAATGAGAGGAAGAGAAAATGGAAGTGTAAGCGTGTGGAAAGAGAAGAAATGATGAGGTCTAACCAGCAGAGGGAGACAAAGGAAAGAAAACAGAAAGAAAGAACCAGACTCATGACACCTTTAGATTACTATGTTCATTCTTTATGAGAAGAACCATTATTGATATGAACATAATAATAACTTTAATTTATATAGTGCCTTTCAAAGTACCCAAGGACGCTTAACAAAGGACATGAAATGGGAAGGGGGAATTAAGGAGGAGGCACGAGGCCGAGGCAGCTAGAGCCCAAAGGCCTCAGTGAAGAGGTGTGTTTTGATTTGATTTTTGAAGGTTGAGAGTGATGAGGCAGAGCGGATCTCGTGGGGAAGTTTGTTCCAAAGTGACGGAGCACCAACGCAGAAAGCTCTATCACCAAATGTCTTAAGCCTGGACTTAGGGACAACAAGCAGGTTCTTGTCAGAAGAACGCAGGGACCGTGACGGAGTGTAAGAATGGAGAAGATCAATAATGTACTGGGGTGCAAGTCCATGGAAGGACTTGTATGTCAGGAGGAGGATTTTATATTTGATGCGGGACTTTACTGGCAGCCAATGTAGCTTCATAAGGATAGGAGTAATGTGAAGACCAAGTTTTGTGCGTGTGAGCATCCTAGCCGCAGAATTCTGCACATACTGAAGTCTATCAGTGGCTTTGCTGGGTAGACCGAACAGGATTCCATTACAGTAGTCAAGTCTAGAGGTGATGAATGAGTGGATAAGGGCCTCAGCTACAGAATTGGAGAGGCACTGTCGAAGTCTGGAGATGTTCTTGAGATGATAGAAAGCAATTTTAGTGACGTTTTTGATGTGTTGTTGGAAGGAGAGAGTGGAGTCCATGATGACGCCCAGGTTGCGTACTTGAGGAGATGCAGAGATTGAGCAGCCATCCACATCCAATGTGAAGTCATCAACTTTTTTAAGAAGTGACAGCGGGGCGAACACCATGAGTTCTGTTTTGTCTTTGTTCAGTTTGAGGAGGTTACTGTCCAGCCAGTGCTTTATGTCCTTCAGGCAGTTAGTAAGTGGCACTGGTGGAAGTGAAGTAGAAGGCTTAGTGCTGATGTAGAGCTGAGTGTCGTTAGCATAGCAGTGGAAGTGTAATCCATGCTTTCGGACAATCATCCCAAGTGGCAGCATGTAAATATTAAATAGCAGTGGGCCTAGGACCGATCCTTGTGGCACGCCATGCAGGACCGGCGCCAAATTAGAGCAGATCCCCTTGAGGGTGACATATTGTTGCCTGTCAGTGAGATAGGATTTAAACCAGGAATACACTGTACCAGTAAGGCCAATGAGTTCAGAGAGACGTGTAAGAAGAATGGAGTGGGAGACTGTATCGAAGGCTGCAGAGAGGTCAAGGAGTATTAGGATGCTGACATGGCCAGAGTCAGCTGCCATGTGAAGGTCATTTGTGATTTTGATGAGGGCAGTTTCTGTGCTGTGATGTGTCCTGAAACCAGATTGAAAAAGCTCGTAGAGATTGTGCTGTAGCATGTGATGGTTAAGTTGGGAAGCCACAGCCCTTTCCAATAACTTAGATATGAAAGGTAGGTTTGAGATAGGACGGTAATGGTTTAAGTCGTCTTGGTTCAGGCCCGGTTTTTTAAGTTTAGGGATCACCACAGCAGTTTTGAAGCTGGTGGGGACCACCCCAGATGACAGCGAGGTGTTAATGATGTTGACCAGTGTTAGACCCAAAGTTGGAAGACATGCCTTAACCAAGGCTGTCGGCATAGGATCATGTTTGCAGGTTGTGGCCTTTGATTTTGATACTAGCTCAAAAACTTGAGCTGTATTGAGCGGGGAGAAAGAGGAGAGGGAGTCCTGAGGCGCGAGAGCTGTTGAAAAATTTGTGTCAGACAATGGCAGTGTGGTTGACTGCGATAAGCTGGATAGCTGCAGTTGTTGGTGGATGGTTTCAACCTTTTCCTGGAAATGAACCAGGAATCTAGAGCATAGCCCAGCAGCATCAGAGGGTTGAGGAGGGTCAGGTGGACAGAGTAGGCGGTTGATGGTGGAGAAAAGCTGTTTAGGATGATGTTGTTGGTTGCCAATGAGTGTAGCGTAGTAGTTATTCTTTGCCATGGATAGAGCATCTTTGTAGCTCTTAACGTGGTTCTTGTAGGCCAGCTGGTGGACAGTCAGGCTAGATTTTTTATAGTACCTTTCCAGCCTCCGTCCTTTAGCCTTCATGGCGCGGAGTTCAGCAGTGAACCAGGGAGCAGGAGAGGAGAGGAGAATGAGACGGATCGAATGATGAGGGGGGCAACAGAGTCCAGACTATGTGACAGGGCCCGGTTGTAGTGAGTGACCAAATCATCAA